GCGAGATTGTTATTTTTACACTAAAAGTATCAGGGCTTTAAGCAAATTAAGTTTTAAAAGATTGCCTGCAATGTGCTGGACTTGACTTAAGATTTCAGGCAACCCGGTTTTCAAAACTCCAGGTAGAAATACTTGGCAATTGAAAATGCGTTTATGTCCCGCTTAAAGAGTTTGCATGGCATGGGTTTTCTTAAAAGATTTGGGAAAATTGTTCTTTTGATTGGAAAATAATGTATTATAATTATCGCGTTTAATATAAAAATCCGTAAGGTGGCTCGTGTCCGTTTTCACTTAATTTGATGGTTTTAACTTTAAAAGGGCAGAGAAAAAAAAACTAAAGCTGTAGCAGCACTTTTGTAGAGGTGGATGTATATAATACATGTTTGGCTAAAAACAAGCGTCACTTTGTCATTAGCAGTTACCATGGCAATGTATCTTAGGGATTAATCAGACTATTTACCGTTCATTTCACGATAGTCACTTGGTTATTAATTGCGATGTTTCAACCACGTAGCACAGTTTTTTACTAATTTTGTAGTAAAAACTGCCCAAAGGCAGCCTTTTGTAGTTAACTTCAGTCTGTTTTCTGGAAGTTCCCTGTCAGTGAAAGGCTGTTTGTTCCAGACGCCATAAAATACTTAGAAATGGAGTTCTTATTCTCAGGATAAGATAGCTCAAGAAACATGTTAAGTCGAGCTAGCTACTGAAGAGACGAAAAGAGTCATGCTACATAGTTGCACAGTTTCTAATTATCAAAATTCATACTCTCAACCCTGGTCAAAACTCTTGGGACACTAACGCAATAGCTCGCCCAAATGATTTTCCTTTGACGTTATGCATATAACTTTTGTTTCATCACAATCAACACTGCTTGGGGGAAACGGGGACAGCAGAAATGGGCTCTTATAACAACATTCCTAAGCTTAAGAATAAGAGGTAAGATATCAGTCAATTTGGAAAAGTGTGTCTTGGCGCTTAATAATTTCCTAAAGTGACCCATGATGTTTTGACCAGGGTTCTAGGCCTCAGCTGGAAGACTCGGGTTTGAATCTTGATACGTGCACCTCCGACCTTTTCCCGCCTCATCAATCAGAGACGGAGAAATATTTTTCGCCCCGTGTAAGGGAATGGGGATTCCGGAATGCGGTTAATTTTTGCTTCTGGAAAGGGAGATCGTTGGCTTTGGAATCCGGAATAGAGCTCAAGGATTCCGGAATCCTACTAACGATTGGAATCCGGCGTCCAAGTTACGACGACAAAGAATCCCGAATCCACGGCGTGGAATCGAAGGCTGTCTTAAGAGCATGTTTACATGGAGGTGGGGGACCCCAGATAGGTGAGGAAACATGTGGCCGGTCACCCCACCTATCATGTAAACGTGAACAAATTAAAATGAGAGATTATATGGACAGGCGGGTTACTCCACCTAAGCGGGTTACCTCACCTAACTGGGGTCCCCTACCTCCATGTAAACAGGCCTTTAGATTTCCTAATATGGGGCAATATTTTGAATGAATAAAAAACTCAATATACACAGACTATGGTCATATTCAGTTACATTTATTGTTAATTAAAAACAACAATGATCGATCTTTGTTCTCCGGAAAAGTGTACTCTCTAAAACGAGAACACAAAATTATTGTCTTACACAAAAACTCGTTAGTACGCTCAGTGAAACATGTGAAATGAACAGTTAATTCCTCGCAAAAATGTGAATTCTGTTGTGCTACATTTGGACAAGAAAATACACTACAAAATTGTTGTAAGCTGTTACAGTTACGTCAACGTCAATCGCCTTAAGAAAACAAAAGTAAAAATACAATTTAGCGCATAAAGGACTATAACCTTAAATGGTATCAAATTTTAAAGAAATATTGTGCCTTTTTTGCCGGATATGTCATTTTTTAGCCGTCTAGAATAAATATCTTTTAAAGAAGCAGCTAAATCACTCCTAAATTTATAATGATAACGTATTTACATACTACTATATATTTCATGTTTTAAAGGTACAATGAACAAAAAAACGTTGGAGACAGCATTAGGGGTGAGAATAACTACAGACGTCAATACCCTGATTTAAAAGCCACGAATCTCGCTGGAAAAAGTTCGGGAACCCCGAGAAGACAGAAACGCACTAATCCGGCCTGAGAATTGCAGACTAACCTCAAACAGATTAAAATTCTCCGAGACCGACCTTTTTTCATGTATATGCTACTCGCCATTCCTAATAGTGTCCCAAAGAAAAAAAAACTTACAAAACATAACAGCAGTAGAAAGCAAACCTTCCACACTCTTTCTTTTATGTAAGAACATCTAATTTTGGGGCTGGGGCTGAGCATTCTTTTCCCAGTTATTTACCTATTTCCTTTTTTCTTCGTTGCGATTTGAGCCTGAAAACGTTAACATGTTCTTAAAGTTGTAATAAAAAAACACATTGTAAAATTTCTCTAAGTATTTGAGTTGGTCCTTTTACACGTTTTCAGTTTTACATTTGTTTTACCTTTTATATTTATGCTATACTCACGGAAAATACTAAAAGGAAAATTAAGACGTTTTGAAAACGACTCTCAGCCTGAGTATAATTTTAGTATGTTCTAACAACTGTTGTAAATCTCAGCCTAAGCTTTCTCATACAAAACTAAGATTCATATATACAAAAAAATGTACTTGGGGATCGTTTAGTCTCGCCATGCAAACAACTTAGTATATATACATTAACAAAACTTTTAAAGAAATGATAACCAAAAGTAATTACTTGTAACTTACATCTACGTAAACTAAGCTAGTTCATACATTAACAACAACAAAAACACGAGTATATATGAAACAGTTACGTTAAAAAAGACCTTTACGTCACATCAGTATAAAGCCTTTTCCTTCTTCGAACACACACATGAAAAAGCATGTTTAAAAATTAAACAACGCCACTAAAAATGAAATCTCGTCTTTGAAAAGCAACGTTATAAATAAAACACAACGTCTTTGCTCTGCTGTTAATTTCTTAACCCGATTTAAGTTTTCCCCAAGAAAAAGACAGAGCGATGCCAAGAACGTCAACACTCTGACCTTGAAAAATACCAAAACCTGAGAATTTTCATAACGAAGAAATTTGTGTCATTTTCTTCTACTCCCTGTTTGTAGTTGCTGAACACAGAAAGAAAGTTACTTTTGCTAAATGACCCAGGAATCTACGCAGTCTGGAAGCAGTTTACCAAATCTTAGCCTACATTTTGTCCATTACACATAAAGTACCTACCAGAAGATCAAACGACGGAATGTCAACCAAGGATGAAATCTAAAGATGCGAAGCTAAGACCAATTTTGGGAAACGTTTGACGAAGAGAAGAGAGTACTAAGCCTACGTACTTGTATTTTTTTGTCGTAAGAGTATCACCTGCTTGCTAAGAAGGGAACAACTCCACGCATGAAATTCGCGCGAGACGAAGAGTCAAAATCTTTCGCGGTCCACTCGCAGGTGATGTTCCACTCTCGCGATTTCCCAGAAAACAGAGCTTAATCATTGGTTAGAGATAAAAGAGCAAGGGAAATACGCAACCGAAAAAGAAGAAGGGAAAAGAGTCTCTCGAGAGTAAAGAGAAGTACTTTATACCATACGCCCGCGCGCCAAGTCTTACGCGCGCGGCAGGCTATTTTCGGCTTGTCCGGATCTTTCCTTTAAGAGAAAAAGAGAAGTAAAATGTATTTCTCTGCGAGTAACGTTTCCTTTTTTCAGTCCATCAGCTTATACATGATGAGGAACAGTCTTGCAGTTATTTTTCACTTGTTTTCTTCATCTGTTCAAAAGCCTGAAAAAATGTAAGTTTAAAAGTTTAAAAGAGAGATTTTTGTGAAGGACAAAACAGCGACATCATAAATTTTGCGCTGCAAAAACAGCAATATAAACAACTCTGTTTGTATCATTCTAACATTACAGCTATGGTCAAAAGCTCAAAGGCCGTCAACATGACAGGGATAGGAAAGGGACGGGAGGGAAAGGGAAGGGAAGGGAGGGGAGGGGAAGATGCAATGGAAACAGTGTGAAGAATATGTATGATGATATCAGAGTCTACAGGATACAGCAACCATAGTCCTGCATTTGGCCTTCATGGTCTATAACTGTAAGGGCGAACTTAAGCTTGTTCACTCGCTATTTTAGAAATCCCTACCCACCACCCACCACTCCCACCTCAACCAGCCACCCTCTAGCTCTGCTCTTACTCCAAGGGAGTAAAAACAGGCAGGAACCAACTCTAGGTGTCACCTTTTTATCCAGGTACCTGCCTCATAGAGGTGTCCGTTAAGAGAGAGACGACTATATAACAAAATTCACCATAGCTGTGTTTTCCAGTTTCTTTTTTCTTATTCCTAAACTTCAAGTTCAGTTTCTCCTTACCTTGATCTGTGACAACACACTTCCTTTATGCGTACGTTCACTATCTGGACTGGAGCTCGCCTTGGAATCAACCTTTGTGCCATGTCCGTCCGCCGATCCCAGCTTGCATTCCTTACTGTTCTTCCGATCAAGTGGCTTGGCTGGGTTCACCGGCGCTTTTTTATCTGCCGTCTTCTGAAACCTCAACTCCATCACTTTCAGATTCTTTGCTTCGCTCTCAATTTCCAGTAGCCTTTTCTTGGTTCTTGCTAACTCACACTGCGACTCGTGAAATTCGGCATCCGCATCTGTGGTAGCTTTAGACTTGCTGGTCGACAAGTTAAAGAAAATTTTCCTGTCTTTTGCAACCGATACCCTCCTTTTAAGGTTGTCGAGCTTTTTCAAGAGCTCCTCCTTTTCCTTTTGCAAGCTCTCGCTTTTCGCCGAATAACTCAAGCTCTCTTTGGTCTTAGGAACAGTTTCCGGGTCCTCGAAGTTAAGCCTGTTCAGTGCGACCAACGAGGGTTTCTTTTCCTTGGAGTTTCCATCCTTTTTCAACTGTTTAGCGTACTCTTGGAATATCATCTCTGTTTTTTCCATCTCCTGTCGTTCTCTGTCTGGATCTATAACAAAAACGCACAAAAATAACTTCAAATAGGTCAACAATAACTCTTTCTTAAGGTTATAAATAGCCTGCGTATGAACCCCCCTCTCATCATTCATCACCGCCCGGGGCGTTTCACGAAACTTCCCAACGGCGGGGAGTGATACGAGGCGGCTGTATCGGCAGGATACCTTACAAGTTGATCAGAGAAACTTTATCATGAGCACATACGGGTATCACTAAATCGTGACATAGCACGTGCATTTCGCGCCAAAACCAATGGACATTGTTACAGTCAGGTTTACATGAATCGGCCACCAAAAATTGCACTACAAAGAGTACTATGGTATATTTCGAAGCCAAGCCTGGGAAAGAAAGCGTGGTTTCTCATCCGATTGGTTAGCAAGACTGCGCACTTTCTCTCAGTCAATCATAGCTCAGCAGCGTAAACTTCGCTTACCATAGGCTGCGAGTACACTCTTACTTTTCTTTTTAGAGTTAGTGGGGAGGTTCCGTTCATGGAACACATACAAGTTGGCAGCGAGAAGCGAAAGCGCGAACTTCGAAAAACAACCGCGGTTTAGCAAACGTACGTTCTAGGATTAGAATCTGACGACTTCTTTTTAAACAAAACGAAAGACAGTATACTAACTGCCAAAACTGGGTAACCACAAATTCATGCTACTGTCATTCTTTTGGGTTACGTGTAGTTTTGTTCATAATGTGATCTCTACACTTAATTAAAGAAAACGAAAGATCAAATTTTATAGAAAATTTCCTCAGATAACAGAGGCGGATCCAGAGACTGTGGACACTGTTGTGTGTATGACTACTACTCAGTGGTGACAAATTCACTTCCAAAATTCGTTTGTCTCAGGGAGCATTTTTTGGGGGGTAGGGGTGGGTCGTTACTTCCAGAAACTACACCCCCAGATCCATCACTGAATAATGCATATACGCCTATTTTTGGTTTGCAACCACGTGACAAGGTGGCCATGTTGGAGGCCAAAACAACAGATTTTTTTATCGAAGAATTTACATGAAAATGGAGTTTAGTTCCCAGAGGAGAGAAATGCTTTGTTCTTTCTTGACGACCAACCTGGCCGCCGTGAAAAAAAATAACCATTTTTCTTTTCATATAATACTAAAATAAAAAATATTCATAATTCGGAGGAGTAATACGATAGCATTGCTTACCGTAAGACTGCGACCCTTTTCTGTTACGACTCTCGACAGTGTTTTTCACGTCAGCCTTTTTCGTTTCAGCGTCTTTCGTTTCCACAACAACTTCTTTCTTTTCGATCAATCCGTTCTCTTTCGTCGTTTTTGAAGTGGTGCTTTTCTTTACACCCGATTTTTCCGCCATTTGGTTGTTGTTTTCATACAAACTTTTCTTGGCTAAAATCCCTTGTGATACTTCTTTCTTTCCAATCTAAAAATGCAAGGAGGAAAAACAAAGTTAAAATTAAATATATACACGTTCAAATCTCTCTTCTTGGTTGCTCACTTACAATAATGTAACGGCCATGATAGGTTACAGAGATACAAGTAGCCATGGGAAATTTTGTAATATTTTGCACGTTTTTCTTTCTACGCTTAAGCGCATCTCAAGCCCCTTTGGAAGCATGTGCTTAAAAATTAATCAATACCATTGAAATAAAATCATGACCGCAATTCCATACATTAACACCAATTAACACTTTTATCATCTTTTATCTTCCCTTAATACACAGTAAGGAAATTATCACCTATGCCTTCACTGTACTAACCGAATGAATTTACAGCTATACCACAACAAAACAAGTTGTTTTTTCCCTGCTGATCAGTATACTTTTTCGTTACAAGCAAAATAGATGCATCGTTTTACTATTTAAATCAATTTTAGCACTCTTTTGTCGATCGCTTTATGCAGATTTCCGATCGCTGGCCGAAGGTAAAACATCAATTCAGAACTTCGGTTCCGAACTTTTCCGAACTATTACCATAGGAATGTCGGCCCCAGTCCTCGTAGTGTTCGTCTCTGTCAAAATGGCCGCCCACAGACTACTTTGAAACAGGTCGGCGTACTAAGCACAGGTAAAAAATCCCCAATCTTAACCTTTAATTTATTCGCTTCCACTGCAACGTAACGATTAAGACAACAAGGAATACTAACCCAGTGGCTCAAGGCAAGCAAGGGTTTGAATCCTCGCAGGCAAACCGCGACAAGAGAAGCAATCATTTTTTCGTGGACACCCTTATAATTTCGCATGAAAAGATAAGACAACTGCAATAACAATAATAACAATAACTCACCGGTTCCTCTCCTTTCTTAAGCGCCTCTATCTTCTGTTGCACTTTTAATTCAACTTCTTTTTCCTCAACAGTAGCTTCTCTGAGGACAAGATAACCACCGTCCTGGTTTCCATCATCACTCACCGCTCCTTCATTCTCCACACCAACCTCCAACTCGTCTTTCTTATTCTCGTCGTCTTTATTCAACAGATTGTCAGTTATCGACGATGGTCGGTCAACGTAACTAACTTGACCGTCAGTAGAAGAGTTTCTTTCTGCTGACCCGTTGGCAGTGCTGTTGTCTGTCTCATTGAGGATTTCTGTAGTTGAGGTGAGTGATGTTGCTTGCCTCTCAGTTGACGACTTGCCTTTTGCCGTTTTGGTGAGAGTATCGGCCAGTTTGAGAATTCCTTTGGTCAGTTTAGAGCCTGAGTAACAGAATATACTGTAAGTTAAACTGAGGGGTGGCACGTTTTGTGCATGGGGGCCACAAGGGGGCGGGGGGGGGGGGGTGACACTCAACAAAGTTTGGATCAATTGGGTTTCTGGGTAACTCACCACCTCCCCCTCCCTTAAGGGAGAAGTAAGTGTTAATGTTGACTTGGCGGGGGGGGGCGGGGGGGGGATAGTCGGCCCACACATCGTCTAGAATTAGTCTAGTCTGTCTATACAGAAGGCCTAAAGTGTTAGTTGTAGTGTGTGGGGGGGGGGGGTGGGAGGTGGTGGTGAGGGGGGGCGGGGGGGGGGGGGGGGGGGGGGGGTGACACTCAACAAAGTTTGGATCAGTTGGGTTTCTGGGTAACTCACCCCCTCCCCCTCCCTTAAGTGGGAAGTAAGTGTTAATGTTGACTTGGCGGGGAGGGGCGGGGGGGGGATAGTCGGCCCACACATCGTCTAGAATTAGTATAGTCTGTCTATACAGAAGGCCTAAAGTGTCTGTGATGCAGGCTAGGGTGATTACGGGGTTTTCGTGGTCAATTACCCTGAAACATCAATTGCCCAAAGTTTTATGTGGGGAGGTTCTGTCCTGAGGTACAACCCCTTCCCTTTTTTAAAATATACCATTTTTGAGAGGTAACCATTTCGTAAACCTTCTAATGTATTTGTATGGGGATGCCATGTTGGCGTCTCTCTGAGAGGGGCCAATATGGTGGCTGAAAACCAACAGATAATTATATCTTCCATTGAGTGTTTTTTACAAAAGCATGAACTCACAAACTAAGAAGAATGAAAACAAATTAATATAAATATTCTCAAAGGAGCTATATCATCATGTATTAACTTTATATACCTAACTCAATAAAGTTTGTTTTGGCAATTGGGCATTGGCTACTTGGACATACAGAACAGTGCAATAGTTTACTTGAGTCAATACAAAACAATAGATTCCCAGTGCCCAATTACCAATGCCCAAAGCAACCTGAATAAGCTATATCACTTTAAAACACTAGATTTCCTATGCTGGGCACCATGCATTTTACAGGTTTAGAGTACAGGGCTCCCTCCAATTTTTCTTAGGTAGTGTTCACAATTGGTGCCCAAGGGCAGTATCTGCTAGGCAATAATGTGAACACATCCTTTTTTAAGTACCCATGCTAGAAACGGGTCCCCTTTTGTAAGCTCTGGGGCAGCCCACTGCTTTGTACTCGCTGCTAGGCTCGCTGCAAAATGGCGTCTGACAGGGCAAAATGGAGTAACCATGTATGCAGTTACACATAAGGTCCTGAAGGTGTGAACACAACACTTATGCAGGAGGAAGCTTGGCTGAGTGGCCAGTGCGTCGGACTCGCAATCCGGCAGTCCTAGGTTCGAGTCCTGTTCTGGCGACTTGCTGGATTTGTTCTCGGTCGTCCCAAGTTTAAATCCTCAGCCACGCTTGTAACAACTAACTGGTTGCCTCTTAATTGCCAGTTGGGGTTTTTAATCCTGTTATGTTGTATTTGAAATATTTGTTTCTAAGTATTTTATTGGAGTGCCTGTAAACTAGCTGGATAAGCTAAGTGCACTTTCCACCATAAACAAGCCTTTAAACCTTTTTAAACCTTATCAACCATTTTGTGCTAATACCCAGGCACTGGTTCGCATGCACCAAATGTGGACAGTCCCTTAGAGTGCACCCTTGCCAGTACATAATTACTAACACTGACCTTTGCTTGCTTTATCCCCTGGCTTGATCTGACCACCCCCAGCTGGACTTGTAGGGGTCATAGGGCTGGTGGGACTGGTAGGACTTCCCTCGGGTTTAGCAGTATTCACTCCATCCCATTTGATTACTTTGTCAGCATGAGCCACTGAGCTAGCCACTTCTTCATAAATCTCTTCATCTGCCCATGACTTTTCAGCAGCGTCGCTTTTGTCTTTCTTGTCCTCCTCATTTAATGCTCTCCAACTGGCCGGTAGCTCGGGCGGTAACGGAGGAAGTGGTCCCAGTTCTTGATGACTAGCAGACGGAGACGATGGCTTGTGATTTGCCACATGAACTGTTGACCCAACTTCCGTGTAGCCATCATTGTCTTTTGAAGAGTTTGCACTTTTTACTGAATCCACTGTCTGAACTGCTATCACAGGCTTTTCTGTTGATGTTGAAAACTTCTTCTGTAACTCAGGAGAAATTACAGGACACACATAGTCATCTTCATCCTCTTGTTCAAACACCCCTGAACTTGACTCTGTGGGAGAGGTGGCAAGCTTAATGAACCCTGATTCAATGAGTAATGCTTTTTTCCAGCGTTCCCAATCTTTGGCGTTCTTAGCCACCAGAGTGAACTGACTCACCCCATCTCTCATCACCTGAACAGCAAGCTTGCTTTTCTCCTCCTCGCCTGCTCTGATCTCGCTTCCTTTTAAATCCACTGTCATTTCAGGGTCATCGTCTTTGATTGTCTTATAACAGTAAAGTTTTTCTTCCCTGATCAAGAACCACCGTTTGGCACTATCATTTCCCTTGTGAGCATACCCAGCCAAAGAAACTCCATCTTGGGGACTCGAGAACAGTTTGTCCTTCTTTCCCTTCTTCTTAAGCCAGTGAAAAAACTGTTTCTTCTTTTTGCCTTTCTGTTGCACTGGCTGTGCTTGTGGGTTTGGTGAAACTTCGCCATCTGATGAGCCAGAGTCAAACTCATCAGTAGCAAAACCATCATCCTGGTGCTCATATTCGCTGAGACCAGTCTGATTTTTTAATTGCAATTCCGCCACTGCCTCATACACATCTTCCCCAAACTGTCCACCACCATCAACCTCATCTGGTATTTTTGGCAATTCACCAAATTCATGATTGGGAAGTTTGGGTAGCTCTTTGTTTGGATAGCCATTTTCTAAAGGTTCTCCGTTGACATAACTTACAGCAACACTTTCCTCACTCTAGAAACAAAAACAAGCAATATTAACATTCAAGCATTGGTGACAACTAATATTTCAAATAATCATCACCTTTTTTAAGTATTTGCTCATCCTTCTCATAGCCAAAATTTCTCAAGAGAATTATTTTAAGCTGAACGTTACCACATAAAATAGTTGACTGTTGTTGTAATAAAAGGACTATCCTCATTAGGTCCCCAAAATTTTGCTTTTAGTAAAATAATCCAATTAATTGTTGTTAAATAATTTCGCTTTGCATTAGATATTGCATCTAAAGGCAAACGACATGCAAGTTGAAGAGGATGAATTTCAAGGCTCTAAATCTGTAATCAACACATTCAAACAGGTTATTACTATAATGCAAAAAGAGACATTTCAGTAATTGTTTAACAGTGGCTTGTTGTTACACCTATAACTTTCAAGAGCTGACCACACTTTTCATAATTTGCAAGACAAGTAGATACAGGCTTTGTGTAGCATTTGACAAATGACAATAACAAATAAACTTTTGAAACATGGTGACTAGATTGTAGCCTATAACTTAGTTCAAATTTGGTTATCTTACAGTTACATGGCTTACAATACAACAGCAGTAGGCCTTTTTCCACCAAACATAAACTTTTTTCTCTTCCATGCACATGCTTGCTTTAATATGGCAGTAATTACTGGAGTACCAATATTGTGTTGTCAAATTAAAGCAGGAAGCTTGGTGATATTAGTGCTATCATAACATCTCATGGCAACATCAAAATATCAAAGATCTGCGGTGCCTTTAAAACTACAACCTTGCCGCAAGCTTCAGTTAACTCTTAAGAGAAAAATTCAATATCAAAATAAGTATACTCTACAATGCTTTGTTTAAATATCATGTGCTAGTAAAGACAAGAAATTGTTTCAAAGCAAGACATGTATCAACTCCTGTATTCTCATAATGTTTGTGCTTGATTAAACTAGGGATATTGTGAGGAGAATTTAGATGTTTGTCACCACAGACGAAAGGCATAATGCACTTACAAAGTACAGCATTGCACACAGCAATAATACAATATTAAGTCATATTACAGAAAACACAAACTTCTCTTCACTAAGGATGCTTATTAAGGGGCAGAAATTCTAAGAATCTGAGACTTGCTGAGGCATTGAGACCCTGGTTTAAAAATCAGAAACTTAAAGTTTCATCAAATTCACTCACAAAATTTTCAGATCAGGTTTAAAATTTTCTGACACAATTTCCTGGGAATCATTGGCCCCCTTTTTGCTGTGTTATTCTGGAATAAATCCATACTCCCCCCTTCCCACCATACAGGGTTTTTTATTTTCGAACCTCCACCACCCCCCCTCCCCCTTCATCTATGGAAATTCCAGAACTTTATATGACTTTTCTCCTGAAATTTTGGTCTTTACTACTGCCTCCCCCCTAGAATGTCCAGTAGAGTCTTCCTCCCTGTGGGGTAAATATGGATATTTTTGGGCACAACATTTTACAATGAACCACTATCCCTAGCAAATATAACAAATGTGAAAGCCAATCAAGTGTGGTTTACATGTTCACTTAGAACACACCAGACAAATGGCTAGACGCATAGAGACACTCTTACGATAAAAATTGGCTACTCAAGCAATACAGCCATCACAGCACGAGCCAGTGGTTGATTGTGGGTTTGCATTAAAGCAATTCATTAGGTTGCGGTACGTGAGTCACTTCAATATTGTAACTCTTGTTTAGGAAATACCAAACATTGATCGCTAAGGCGACAAAGTTATAGGAATAATGTTTCATATCCTGTTAAATGAACAACAAAACTTTAATTTTTTTCTTGCAGTTGCAGATTTAGAAAGCAATAATTTTAATTACCACTTAATTTTTTTATTTTTATCATGAATTTTATAAAAGTTCCATTAATGCCAAGAGTATATTGAGTCTGCAGGAACAACTAGAAAAGACGAGAACTTCTTCAACTATATCAATTTTATATTACCAGTACTCAGTTATTGTCAAACCTATACATGTTCCATATTAAATAATAAATTCGCAAAGCCCTGTTTCATCCTATTTCAAGACTTCCTTGTTACATGTAAAAAGGGAGCGCTAAAGACTTTTAGCTGAAAATACAGTGAAGTGATTATCAATAATGGCCATTAACTGCCAGTAGAAACTTTTAAATACAGGTGCATATTTTAAAAGAGATATTCAAGCAGATAGATGGTAACTGATTTTGAACATTTTTTTACAAATTTGACACTATTTTCTTATTTTATCTTTTACGTAAGTTTCATGTAGATTGCCAAGTCCAATAAAACAGAGACCTAGCTTAATCCTCACCTCCTGTGTAAACAACCTATTTTTCTGGCCTCATGTAGCTTATTACAATAGATGTAATTTTAATAACATAATTTATCCAAGAAAGATATTGAAAGTGCCACGGTAAAATTATTTCAAGTTGAATATTTGATGCTTTATTGTACTTGCGGCACCAGTTAAAAAACTAATCAATACAAAACTCTTTTAAATAGAAAACCATAATATATCTTTTAAATGTTAACCACAATGTATCAACTTTTTCATTTCATTTAAATTATACTTTTTTGCTTTTTTTTATCAATTCATTCCTCAAATATCATTAAAATATAAATTTGGTAAAAAAAACAATGAATTGGTCATATGCTGCAATGACGGTGAGGTCACTGTGATAATTATATCTAATATTGTTGCAACTAATGGTTCAAATATAAGCATAGTATAATAATTATTATAGAAGGACCTCGAAATTCATTTAGCATATATTAACACCATAAATTAAAGTAGACACAAGAAAAACGTTATTATCTTTTGCTAAAGTGAACTGTCACAGTAAGACAGACACTCTGGAGCAGGAACTAAGTGCAGTGTTCTCCCTAAATTTTAGCTCAGCAGGTAAGAGACCATTCCTGACAAGTAAGGCTAAAAATATACACCAGGGGTGCACTTTCCCGGGAAGGAAGTGGGATGAGGGTCATATGGACCCGCCCTCACTGGGAAATTTTTTATAGCTAAGTTCTCTGAAACATCAATATCATATTCTGTTATTTTAAGACCTATTTTGGGGTAATCTGCTGTTGTAAGTTATCTGCCTTTTGATCTGAGGTTAAAAACTTTAAAAAAATTTAAAACTTAATTTTCAAAGAGCCACACTGGGCTTAATTAAAGATCTCTTATTATATGAAGTTGGCAGTATGCCTTTTTCCCTTCAAACTGATAGTTTAAATCTTTAGACAACACTTTTAAATGTGTGATTTCAATAATTTTATCCTATCTTAAAATGCTCTCTTTCCATAACGCGTGGCCCATACAAGAAAGAAGATTGTAACTTGTGTATATTTTAAAACAACTTGTATAATTTCAAGGACCCCGTAAGCGGTTGCAGGTGGTATTAAGTGTTGCTGCAAGCAGTAAATTTTACCGGTTTCCTGATAAGGAGAACACTGTATTAAGTGTCCATCTTTAAAGGCACTGTGTCACAACTGTCTATTTCAGTTTGTTAATATTGCCAATTACAAATCTTTATTCACTTTAGAACTTAATGTCATCAAGAAGTCACTTATGCACCACAAAATCACAGCCTCAACCCAAACAACATTCCCTCCTAACCATTTTAGCATTAAAATGACTGTTAAAAGCAACACAAAATAACTTTGAAGAACTGTTAAGCTAGCAAGTTTTGAAAAACAACACTTGCAATCCATTTGAATCTTCTCCCAGTTTATCCATCCCTACCTTTTTTGGCATCAGTTGTGTTACATACATGTAAATAATGTTTTGAACAGTTATTCTTAATTCTGTTTCACTCAATTTGGCAGCGGTTTCCAATCCAGCTCCTTTACTTTATAAGGCAAGAGAGTTTAAGAAAAATGATTGAAGCCTGGCAGGTACCAACTCTACAAGTCGGTTTTTTGGTGGTGCCGGTCTTCTAGTTTAATGTAGTTGTATCCCCTTTAGAGAGAGTTTAGTGGCTTCATTTTATTTATACGTCATGTTAATTTCTTGTTTAGCAAGAACAAAAATCAAATGGTTTTTAAGCGTTAAATATTAAATATCATTTCACATTTTTATTATTTAACTCTTAGAAATCACCTGATTTTAATAAGTTCTCGGAATTTTTAATTTTGAGCTTTACTGAATTTAAGCATTTTTTTAGCTTTATGGCAGTTTAGAAACTTTACCTTGTTTAACCCAGAAGAGTTATTTTGAAGCTGAGTTGAAGCATGTTTAGCATCTGATTGTAATGAACAAGAAATCAGTTGCTCTTCACTTTCTTCTTCTTCCTCCTCTACTATCGCTTGCATTGCAGGAGCTTTATGACAAACAGGTGTTTTTTCCTCAGACTTTGTAGTCTGAGTGGAAGACTCTTTACCAGCAGATGCTGCCACAGTAAGAACTTTCATCCACTCTTTTAGTTCATCATTGTTTGAGGCAACAAAAACCCAAGGTGCCATATCAGATTGGGTTAACCTAAACACGGGGGTGCGCATAAGTCTGTCGTCCAGCAAGATCTGACAACACGGCATTATGATAACATCATATGCCACTTCGTCTGGATCTCGAGAAGGAAATATACACAGATGTTGATCAATTAGAACACACCACCAAAGCTTTTCACTGTGTTTCTCTCTTAGGTAACCCGCAAAGTCTGGCTCACATAAGTCCTCAAGTGAAATATCAAACAGGGCTGCACTGTCACGTTTACGACTCTTTCGTTTGTTTACTGGAGAACGGTTAGAGTTGTTTAGTTGATTTGAGCTATTTAGGGCTAAATTATTGGGATTATCATCATCTGTACTGTCCGACTCCTCATCTTCGTCAAAAGGATGATAAATGACCAATTCACGCAGGTCTTTTAAGTTTAATTCTTCATCCAGGTTACCATGTTTATTATAGAGATAGGAGGCCTGTTAGGTTAGAAATATAACATAGGAAGAACAGTGATTTTAATAAATTGATTTAATTATTTATACAAGGATAACAACACATGTGTATGGTAGTTGAGGATGCAGTTTAAATTTGTTCAATTTCCTCTTAAAATCAAAATGACTAGCTGCAGTTGGAGCTCCTAAGAGGGGTATACTGGATTTAAAGTCACAGGGATGATCTAAAGGGAGAAAAATTGAAACAAAAAATCCCTGGCCCAAAAATTAGCCCCCCAAAATTTACATACCAATTTCCGAGACTGAAGAATACACTTACGGCAAAGGAAATTCCTGTGACAGTAAATCTTGGCAGTGATGAATGAATTAATCAACTAAGCAAATTGAATCCTCGTTGGATGAATGCAATTGCAATGCATTTAATATCAGAAAATAACAACAAAACAAGTTTGCAAAAATGTACGTTACAAGTACAACTATGCAGCTGGGATAGTTATCACTGGGCACTAACTCAAATCCTTAAAATGTTTTGAATAACATCCCAAAAAATTCCTACTTAAATCAAAAACACTTGCAAATTTTCCTGACCCTAGAAATCTTAGAATGGAAAGTTTACCCCCCACCCAACCCCCCAAAAAACTTTGATTATTCCCATATCTTTAAATCAGAAGTACATCACCTCAGGAGACATTCAGAAGCTAATTTCACTCATTATAAAAATTATTTAAAATAGAAAGGCATGTTATTGTCCATTAAATTAAAAAACTTTATTTTTGGTGAACCTTATTTACCACTTACTTTAATTTCATTCGTAACAATATACGGTGATAAACTTAATCTTTAAAAAAGGCTTCTTAAATCCATACAATTTAATTCTTAATAGCATTGCAAATGTTTAACTGGCTTCGCCAATTAAGGCAGCTGAATTTGCATGCCATGGTTTTCAACCAAACACACATACATAACATTATTAAATTGCTTTTCATCTTTTCTTGTTATCATTTCCAACAGGCCGGAGAAATCAAGAAGCCCATCTGTAAGAAGCAAGTCTCTTTTTTATCTCAGGTAATTTTTATTTTTCCTTTGTTTCAACTTCATTAGCATACATTACTATACCCAAATACAAAAAAAAGAGAAAAATAACCTGAGAGAAAAAAATTAACTACAACTCATACATATAACTTCAAAACCAAGAATTAATAAGATAACCACATACCTTTGTAGTTCTAGTTGCTTGCCAATCTTCTAAATTATCTGATTGATTAATTTCTGGAAGAGAACCACTCCGTTGGATTCCTTCTTCTCTAACACCATTTTCAAAGTCACTTGTGTCATTCAGTGACTGATTAGACACTGACAGTCCAGCATTTAGCAGTTTTCCTTCCTTTAAGTTGTTATTTCTCATATTGTTCAAAGAACTATTCATTCCTTCGACAACTGTTATACATTCTTTCCTTTGTTCATCTGCTTCAGCACTCAGTGATTCCTTAGGCAGTGTGCTCTCAAGAAAAACACTTATTTTGGAAAGTCGTGCTTGGAATTCTGAAAAAAAAGGCCAAAAAAGGATCAGTGAATTTTGCTACCCTGTTTAAGACAAGAGACCTTATCTTACAACCCTGATTCATTTCATTTTACATACAGTCAGAAAATAAATTATTTTAATATAAGCAATTTTTGAAACTAAAATAATGGAATTAGATTTCTTGGAAAACAATAATATTGATGCCACAAATTTAGACCGCTCATTGCCAAACTTCACACTATTTGGAAGGCTTCAGTCCAAAACGAAACTCTATTCAAAACGCTAAACAGTAAGACTGGACATGTACACATTGTTTGGCTCAAGACTCTGAAAACCATACCCTTTTCAGCAACACTCACAGAGTACGGATAATGGAGTACCCCCCCCCCCCCACTCCTCCACCGAAGGAATGCAGGCTTTGCTCAAGCAGCACCTATTGGCCCCTATCACTGTACTTTTGCACTTGGGGGACAAGTTTTTGCATATTTAGAAAATCAAATGCTAGCTAGGTTTCACAGGCTCAGAGCACAGGGCTCCCCACAATTTATCTTAGAGCACAGCTTTGGTAACAAAGATGAAATTTAAGCTTTGTGTAAAAATCCCAAAAGTGAGAAGTTAAGCAAATACAGTACACATTCAATAAATAGTCAACAACTGAATCAGTAACTCGAAATGGTCTCCAGTGAAGGTACAATTCCTGATAGTATAAGGCTGTGCACAATAATCAAAGTGCCAAATTTACCACTTTCACTCCTAGACTACATTATAGCGGATTATTTGTCGCTTAAATATATTATGTATGTTACTCCTGTGGTATTACTATATGCGAAATGAAACCTTCTTGGCATCAGGATAAAATGTAATCAATTTTGTCATACCAATAATAATATTACACAACTCTGCCAGTCCACACAATTTTTCCCAGTTAAATGCTGGGCCCTGATAAAAAATTCCAGGTCTTAGAGAGAGGCACCGGTAGTTGTAAATATACCCCTCACACAAATTTTTCTTTTGTGGTATAATAAATCTAAAGAATATAAAGAGTAAGCAGCTGTCAAGAAAAAGTAATAAAAACCCTCTGAATAAAATGAATAAACTGCATATTCAAATGCAATTTATGAAAGTTTTGAAATAAAGAGGATATTAAATGAGGAAAATCATATTATTGTGCTGTAGTATATGACTATGTAAGACCACAAAATACAAAATCAAATCTAAATAAATAGAATTGGGTAGAGAATTTAGATATTGCAAAAACAGTACCTGACAAATGTCAAAGGATTAAAGAGACAGACATAATACAAAAAATACAACCAAAATGTTCGAACAGAGCCATATTTCATAAAAATGATTGCAAAAAATTACATTGAAAGGACAAATAGCGAGCTCGGGGAGTTATCGCGGGGCACAAACCCCAACACCTAAAATGTTTTGAAAAAAACCCCAAAAAATTCCATTTCAAACCCAAAAACCTTCCAAAATTTTCCCGGCCCCAAAAATCTGTGAAGGGAAAATTTCCCCCTTTTCCCCCCCCCCCCCCCTGCAAAAAAAAAAATGATTATTCCTGTTGCTTTAAATCAGAACTACACAACCTCAGGAGACATTTAGAAGGTTTTCACTCATTATAAAACATATTTAAAATAGAAAGGCATGTTATTGTCCATTAAATTAAACAACTTTAATTTTTCTGAACCTTATTTACCATCTACTTTAATTTCATTCGCAACAATATATGGTGATACACTAAATCTTTAAAAAAGACTTATTAAACCCATAAAATTCAATTCTTATAGTATTGCAATTTTTAACTGGCTTCATTGATTAAGGCAGCTGAATTTGTATGCAATGGTTTTCAACCAAACACACATACATAACATTATTAAATAGCTTTTCATCTTTTCTTGTTATTATTTCCAAAAGGCCGGAGAAATCAAGAAGCCCATTTGTAAGAAGCAAGTCTCTTGTATATGTTGTAGCTAATTTTTTATCTCAGGTAATTTTTATTTTTCCTTTGTTTCAACTTTATTAGCATACAGTACCATACCCAAAAACAAAAAAAGAGACAATTAACCTAAGAGAAAAAATTAACTACAACACATACGTATAACTTCAAAACTAAGGATTAATAAGATAACCACATACCTTTGTAGTTCTAGTTGCTTGCCACTCTTCTAAATTATCTGATTGATTAATTTCTGGAAGAGAACCACTCCGTTGGATTCCTTCTTCTCTAACACCATTTTTAAAGTCACTTGTGTCATTCAGTGACTGATTAGACACTGACAGTCCAGCATTTAGAAGCTTTCCTTCCTTTAAGTTGTTATTTCTCATATTGTTCAAAGAACTATTCATTCCTTCGACAACTGTTATGCATTCTTTCCTTTGTTCATCTGCTTCAGCACTCAGTGATTCCTTAGGCAGTGTGCTCTCGAGAAAAACACTTATTTTGGAAAGTCGTGCTTGGAATTCTGAAAAAAAAAGGCCAAAAAAAGGATCAGTTAATTTCACTGCCCTGCTTAAGACAAGAGACCTTACCAGTTACAACCCTATTGGTCCCTATCACTGTACTTTTGCACTTGGGGGACAAGTGCTTGCATATAAAATCAGATGCTAGGTTTCACAGGCTCAGAGCACTGGGCTCCCTTCAATTTATCTTAGAGTACAGCTCTGGCAATAAAGACACAATTTAAGCTTTGTGTAAAAATCCCAAAAGTGAGAAGTTAAGCAAATACTGTACACATTGAATAAATAGTCAACAATTGAAGGGTGATAATAACCAATTTTCACTTAATCAGTAACTCGAAATGGTCTCCAGTGAAGGTACGATTCCTGATAGTATAAGGCTGTGCACAATAATCAAAGTGCCAAATTTACCCCTTTCACTACTAGACTACATTATGGTGAGATTATTCGTCACTTAAATATGTTATGTATGTTACTCCTGTGGTATTACTATATGCGAAATGAAACCTTCTTGGCATTAGGATAAAACGTAATCAATTTTGTCATACCAATAATAATATTACACAACTCTACCAGTCCACACAATTTTTCCCAGTTAAATGCTGGGCCCTGCTAAAAAATGCCAGGTCTTAGAGAGAGGCACTGGTAGTTGTGAATATACCCCTCACACAAATTTTTATTTTGTGGTATAATAAATCTAAAGAATATAAAGAGTAAGCAGCTGTCAAGAAAAAGTAATAAAAACCCTCTGAATAAAATGAATAAACTGCATATTCAAATGCAATTTATGAAAGCTTTGAAATAACAAGGATTTTAAATGAGGAAAATCATATTATTGTGCTGTAGTATATGACTATGTAAGACCACAAAATACAAAATCGAATCTAAATAAATAGAATTGGGTAGAGAATTTAGATATTGCAAAAACAGTACCTGACAAATGTCAAAGGATTAAAGAGACAGACATAATACAAAAAATACAACCAAAATGTTCGAACAGAGCCATATTTCAGTAAGATGTAGCAAAAAATAGCTCGCAGTAAAGTTGACATTTCATTTCAATCCAGACTTATCCTTTCAAACAAATTTATTATTTATGATTTTCAATTCAACAGTTTTAGAAAAACTACTCAATTCTTAATAGCTGTAAATAATTAAACACATTCAAAAAAGAAAATTGATTAAATGAATTTACTCATCTTTACAATGTCCACAACAAAATTCCATCAGAGATACATCTTAGTTGAAATGGGAATAATTGTTAAAAGGTTAAAGCAATGATGAGTTTTACCTTTATATTAAAAATGAAATGCAATTAGTAAGTCAAACTAAACTTGTTTCTAATGAAAATATACAGGTCTTGCTGCTCTATTTTTATTTATTTAATGTTTGGAATGTTTGAGACCAATATAGACTTCGATTTTAGTTAAACCTAAAATCATGTAAAATATAAAATAATTTATTGCGTTCTAAACAATTATCCTTTCTTGACAACTAGCACACACAACTAAACATAAAACTGGCCGGGCTACGCAGAGCCAATTTGATGAGAAATACTCATGTTATATGTTAGGTAATTAAGTGCTAACACTAATTGTTATAAAATAACTAAGATTAGCATGCGCATTCTGATTGGTTAAAAACCTATGGTTTATTGTGCCGTGTTTATTGTGTCGTTTTATGTTTATTGTAAACTCATAGAAAACTTAAAGTTATTTTATAACAGCATATAGATCACACTTTCCATGGGTTTACCAGTAGTGTGATAACCCAATTAACATGTTGAGAGAACACTAGAAAAGCTTGCAAATCACTCACCTTCGGATCATGACTTACAAGCTTTTCTAGTGCTCTCCCAACATCCTGCATGGGTTATCATGCTGGTAAACCCATAGAAAGTGTGATCCATTGCTTAAATAAACTTGAGTTGAAGGATATAGTTAGTTAGGAGGCTACATGTATTAAAGAACTAGGATGCTGTATATTATTACCTGTCCATTTTTGGATCCAAAATTTAAAACTTTATCCCGACTTTTTTTCCAAAATAATAATTTCTTTTTCCAGACTCAAGGTTATCAAATAGGTGATCAATACAGACCTTAAAAAACGCAGGAACAAAGTTTTTTCAAGGTGCACTGCAAACGTAAGGGTGAGATCGAATAAGGTCTGAATAAAACAAAACAAATTTCACTTATCAAGCACAATTTTGTGGCTTTGCAAAAAGAAACACGCAAAACCTTTTACCATTTTTCCAGACTTTTTCCAGGTCTGGAAAATTGTTGGGCAAATTTCAAGACTTTTTCAAGAATTCAAGACTCGGTTCGAACCCTGATATTAAACTCTAAAAGCAGAGGCTATCCACAGTTAACCTTCCTCAAAAAATTTCTTGCTGTAAATTCTCCACCCCTAACCATCTCCCCCCCCCCCCCCCCACCCCTTTTTGCCCGCCCACACCCCTTAGAATCTCCAATTATTTTCCTTTAGGTATCTGGGGTTTTTTTTCCACTCAGAGTGAGGTCACAGGCTGAAACCTTCGCCAGGCCACCAACCAGGGGCTTATAAAAACCTAAAGCTGTAATGACTGCATCATTAAGTGATGCTGTTACATTACAGTTGACTCTCTCTCAACAGACACTGGATCATTTTACGTTTCTGTGAACCTGCCCACCTAAGCCAACATTTTGCCCTAAGTAAGAACTAAGTGTTAATATTGGTTTAGGGGAGGGGTAGGTGGGCAGCTTTACAGAAACATAAAATGATCCCAGACACCTTGGTAAAATGGACACCTAGCGTTGGGCCCCGCCTTTCTTTACTACCTTTATTTGACTCTCTACAGTGGAACCTCTATTCAGGGGACTCCCATGGGACTAAGGCAAGTGTCCCCTGAATGGAGGTTGGACTGGGGTTTGTTAATAATTTACCAACAAATAAAATATTTTTCATTTATTCTGCCTCTGAATCTACAGCAGACATTATTTCAAGCAGCTGCGATGTTTTGTGTTGAATTCTCACGAGTGCAGAACATTGATTCAAGTGAGATAGTTCACCGACGTTTTGAGAGCTGTTGCCATTGTGCCCAGTGAACACTTAAACTTTAGTGGCGGATCCAGACCGTCAGGCAAGGGAGGGGCCTGGTCATCCAGACCCTGAGATAAGGGGGAGGGCTCAGTCGCAAAAAAATTTTTTCCACCCTTCAGGCCTCAGTTTGGTCTAAAAATAAGGGGTGGCCCCGCCCCGCCCCCCCAGGCCCCTCCCCTGGATCCGCCCCTGAACTTATCAACCATTTTGTGGTCAGTCACTTTTTGAGTGCTAAGGTGTCCCCTGAACAGAGGTCTGCCTTGAATAGATATAGGTTCCACTGTATAAAACAAACATCTCTCTAAGACAGTCACACTTAGTGCTGCATGGTCCCAAATTCAAGGTGTTCCCTTTAGAGCTGAGAGTTGACCGTATTTACTTTTGTGTCCTCGTTCCTCCAGAAAGCTATTAAATTACAATATGACATTAAACTCAAACTGCTCCTAGGGACACAGACAAGGGTGGAGTACTTTTAAATATATTTTATGGAGGGAGGGGACTGTTAAAGGTCAAAGAGGGAATTAAAGATCCAACGACGCAACAGTAATGAGAATGTTGCTCAAAAAGTGAATTTGCATTCTTCCAGTCTTTATCCCCATTATTCCTACTTACATACTTTGTCGAATGTAAGCGAACCCTCCTGAATTTGAATTCCAAGGGACCATATTCAAGTTCAGAAAGCGAAACAAAATTTTGTTGTTGCTTGTTTACCTTCTCCATAGAACACAAAACTAGGCATTTTCACATCATTAGTCGTGCAAAACCAGCAAAGAAATATACAAAAAAGTGTGCTGCACGTACAAAGTTGCTTTTTTGCTTATTAAACCTAATTATTCTTTTAGACGTTCTCTTTGCCATCACATCATTTAATCTTTAAGTCCCTAATACCCAGGAGGGAACTGAGTGTATATATGCATGTGCATATCTTGAATAAATTAAGATAAGTGTGACATATGTTAGTGGCCGGGTGAAATGGGAATGGATATTTTTAGAACCACACATGGAGAAAAACAACTTTTTTCAACAACCAATACAAGATTTAACATCTAAGGCTTACTATCACTAGGAAAAAATTTTACCTGTATGATTTTTCAAAGTGGGTATTAAAAGGTTAAGAGGTTTTAAGCAAATAGCAGAAAATCCAATTCACACCTTCATATTTTAAGAGCTATGCAATAATAATTATTCTTAGCATTAAATTTTTTTGAAGCTTTGTAACCAGTGGTACTCTCAAACCTGGCTGCATACAAACTAGATCTTAAAGTAAAGTATACATCATTCTACAACTTGAATTAATAAATATGTAATTCTCCTATTTTTTTATTGATAGTTGTTTAGTTAAAACTTATAATCACATAACGCAATTGCCTGATGTTTTAGCTAAAATTATGGTACTTTAACTATTTGCAAAGGTGAAATCTTATTGGGTTTAAATAATAATAATAATAATAATAATAAGTCATTATGTTTATATATTATTATTTAGTGACCACGTTTTTTTAAGGTTAGAGGGGAAGAGATCTCAACTAATCAAGTACCAAATTTAATATCAAGGGCATTTGAAAGAAAAGTTTAACATTGTCATTTCAAAACGTTTAAGAAACATGTTTATAGAATTATAGAAGTTTTTAGCTGAAAGATTTTCACTAAGTACAGTATTATTCTCTTAATTCTAATGAGATGTAAAAAGAAACGGTTTGGTTTATGTTTGAATCAAATATTGATCTATTCTGTATATCTAACACAAACCTATATTTTCAGCCCTAAGGGCGCTAATTAAATTGCCATTCTTGGGAAAATCGCCTCAAATTTACACCTGCCCGTACAAAACTAGAGGGCCCTTCTGAAAGCTATTTGAAAGAACCCATGAATAAATGTAGGCAGTTTGGTAATCTTCCAAGATGTGTAGTTGACACTGATTCAGCCTTTGAACCCTTAGAAAAACCCCATTCTTAGAAAGCAAATAACGAAACATCTGTTTCAGAAGGCTAAGTATTTAGTTAAAATGATATGCAAATACGTTTTCGAGGCATGAAAAAGAACAATGTATGGTTTGTGTCAAAGGAAATTCTACAACCGCAACTTAATGGGTGGTTTGGGAATAGATTAAACTTGGTTTTATTTTCATATCGGCGCGCCACCGACTGCGTTTTTCAGCTACAAATAAAAGATTTTAAAACGTGGTTTGAGAAACATTTCTCAACCGTGTAAGTGCGATGCGATGCATGATCGAGAGCTCCGCGCGCGATCATTAAATTTCCCTGTCAAATTCACTGCTGATTCACTAGATATGACAAGTGAGTAAACAGACTGACAAAATTGCATGGGAGTTCAGAACTGATCAAAGTCTAGTGCGACAATTCATTCACGGAAAACTTCAGAAAGACTGTCTTTTGGAAACAGATTGTTTCATTTACAAATATTTAAAGTGAATTAAGCACCTCGCTTCGCTTCACCGGGTTTATATTTATGTGGTATATTAAAAACATTATGAAAGCGAAAGCGCTAAATTATATTATAGACAGACCAACGCTTATTTAGTAGTTGTCTAAAAAACAGCAGGATAGCTTGATAGAGATCCAAGAATACGCGCGCATTATGAACTCACATGTTAAGAATCGTATTTGAAATACGAGTTAGTTTAACTAGTCTGGGCTAAACCTGTTAACACCAAATAAAAAGCCATGTTCTCGGAGGGTTTTCAGCGTATTAAACCACCCGATTACTGCCAAAAACTCACAAAAGGGCACTTAAATTAAGCATAAACTTACCGACCAAGGCATCCTCTGTTAAAACAGCCATGTTTCAACGAGATGTTTCAAGACGGCAGTTTTGATAAATTTGATGGATTCGTAACAACAAACGCGAGTATACTAATCGCTCCAAAGTGTACTGTGCCCTTCAGCTAAGAAATGGCAAATTTTGACGACCGTGAAAACACGCCATGACATCTGCTGAAGTGGCTCATTCAAAATGCGGAAAACCTCTTCCTGTTGAATCCCTTAACTTTCAGCCTCTGGCTTGCTCGGTTGCAAAGTGTTTTTCACAAGATTGTCACAACTGTCTTGTTTTCATAAACTTGCTGACCTCTCAAAGAATAGGTCGCATTTTTGAGGCTTTCATTGTTTTTACATCCATGTGAGTTGTCTATTATGACGCGTTATCTTGTATACAATCAGCTCACATGTCACATCATAGCGACAGACGTCATTGTCACATAGCGTGACCGTCCTCAAGCCTCCTTTCCAGTCGATTAAATCGACGAAAAGTTGCTTCATTTCACGCGAAAAACAACCTAAACGTATCAAAAAGCACACCAACGCGAAGGTTTCCACAACATTTAATCTAATTTACTGTCTGGCTGTCGGATTATTAAGAGCTTCCTCTATACTCTGGAAACCGTACAAGAATATCATTTATGTCATGTTTATTCAAGGAGGACTCAAGATACTAGATCAACACACAACCGACATACAAACAGGAATTACGCTGCGTAGCTCGCGCATTCTTTTGCAAAAATTAAGTTACATTCCTTCCATTGAAAATATTTTTTAAACTTCAATTGATGTAATTTCGCAGAAAAATAAAGGGAGGTCGTAAGACACTTGTGTTGGTCCTGACAGTAATGTGATTGAATGGAATTTGCTACGTTCGAGTTAACTGTTACTTAATAGCTTATGTTAATTGCACAATTACCGCTATTCCCATAGAAATATTTGGATCTACAGTATCGATATCCTGGCAATTAACTAGACCCCGGTGTGGCAGAAACATAAGACATAAAATACTGCCTCAAATGAGATTTACCCGGCAGACTTAATTTCGTAGCATAGCTAATATCTGAGGCATCTTTCACTTCTAGTAAAACATCCAAATCAAATAAGGATATTAACACGGACTCATTGTTTTTTTTAAAAAAAAAACCGCATGTGCTCCTGAAAACCGTTGCTGGGGAAGATAAGAATCAATTCTGTGTAGCTTTCAGAGCTTTGCTAGGCTAGATGATGACGTCATGAGACACGCCTAATATCAGTTTCGTCTGGGTAGCTTGCCATCATTTTATTATTATTATTATTATTATTATTATTATTATTATTATTATTATTATTATTATTATTCTTTAAACGTTGAAGTCTGCTCTTTTCCATAAAATCGTAGATTAAGAAAAACGGCAGAAATGTGATTGGATTAAATGTAACGTTGCAAGTTACACGTGTTACCATTAGCTGCGAAACTCAAAGGCATGATAGCTAGTCACCGAAAGGGTCTCAATGGGATACACGATTTCACTGTTTAGAGCCTTTTAAACAGGGTGTCGCTTTGGAGACAGGAGAAATTGGAGGTTGGCTATATTAAAAATATCTACGTTTGTGATACCAACAATTTTTCTTTTCTTAAAATTAAGGGTCATACCAGGCTCTTGATAAAATCCACTTTCATGTTGTTAGTATGAAAGATTACGTAATTTTGTATGCAAAACGAAATGAATCGGGGTAATGAAATAGGATATCTTGTCTTGACCAGGGTAGACAAATGAACGATTGTTGTCTTAAACAGGCAGGGTCGAGATTTGAAGGCATCTGCGGAATACCTTTGCCAAAACATCCCTTCAGTGACCCCCCGGGGATACTATCTTCTAATGCGGTTTTCATCGGAAGTCATTTCACTGTCATTTCACATTCAGTTTGGCTGTCTCTCAATACTAACTAAAAATTTTCGAGCAGCTTTCACAACCAAAGACAAAAAGCGATGTAAACCATCATCTTTAGATCTCTTTAATGCACATCTGCGTCAGCGATCTCAATATGGAGTTCAGACAAACATCTTTGAGGAGCTACGAATGTTACCTAGCACTAAAATCATGGTCTCAGAAAATTTTAACCCAACCCTGGGTACCAAAGGTTTTTTCTCGCGTGCAGTGGGCATGCTTCGAGGTCGGCCGCAGGCCGTGCGTATGAAAAGTCTCTGACACCAAGGGCAATTTTGATCAGAACTCGATCACGAAATCTCGAAAACGTTTCAGAAGTCCTATTTTGTGGGTTTCTGTCCGTCTCGGAGTCTAGAAGTGAGCGTTTTGCTGCTAAAGTCTCAGGTCTTAAAGCAAGGATTCCTGCGGAGTCTCTCTGTTCTATTAGCCACTCCTTCTTTGTGAGAGCTAACGATTTGTTTAAAAAGAACGCAGATATAGCTCGAGAAAGTCGCGAAATTTTAAGGACGATTGTGTGGTAGGGGGCACCAATTTGTCCCCCGCCGATACTTTGGGGAATTTATATCTTCCCTTGCTGTAGACGTATAACTTTCACAGTATCCAAATGTTAAGGTGCTCTTTTCAGAGGTGTTGACGCGTTTCAGCCAAAAGATCGTCATCTAAACTTGACAAATTGGCATTGTTATTAGCCATTTCGGAGTTGCGTAGGGAACTTGGGCGAGTTTCAAATTTAAACTAATCGATAAACTGACACAACCATATAAAAGGTTATGTTGAGATTGGTCATTTGACCAAGTTTGGTACTCTTAAGTTGAACAGGGATCAAGTTATGACTCTTGAAACATGGTTAAAGATCCATAACATCTATAATTTTGTGACAGCGTCCCAAAACCATATAAACTCTTTACAATTTTTCAATTTTTCCAACTGTAAAATTCGTCATGCATCTACTACTTGGAAGGAACTAATTCGAAAATCACTGTGTTTGCCCTTTTTTAGGAATATCACAGAAATCGTGAAAAAAATTAAGAGTTTATAGAGTGTTTTCACTCACGTGGCCAGCATCTATGCAAATTTGTTGGAACAAAAGAAAACGTTTGCATAAGAAAAGAGTTCAACTCCCAGAGGACTGGTTTGGGACACAAACATGGCCGTTGATTCATTGTTTTGGGACACCAATATGGCCGCCGTGACGTCATGTGAAAACACTCTATATGGTTTTGGGGGACGCTGTCACAAAATTGCAGACGTTTGTATGGATCTTTAACCATATTTCAAGAGTCATAACTTGATCCCTGTTCAACTTTAGAGCACCAATCTTGATCAAATAACCAATCTCAACATGACCTTTTATATGGTGGTGTCAGTTTATCGATTGGTTTGAATTTGAAACTCGCCCTAGTTCCCTACGCAACTCCGAAATGACCAGTAAAGCTAGAATTTTTTCCCAACAGCGTGTCTTTCATTGGTTACTTCAAAGTCACATGACATCCAACAATGGTGATGATTCCCGCCAAGAGTCTCTAAGTAGCGGTCGTTCCCGGCGCTGAAAAAAAAACTGAGATTCGACCTGTGATATTACGTTACTTTGCAATCTTCGGGATGCCACAGTCGAGCTTTCAAGCCATCTAGAGGGCAAGTCAATTTTGAACCGTACTGATAATAATAGTGTTCGCCAAGAAATGAATACACATACGCATATTTGCAAACTTGGAAAGGCGTCCAAGCCTCTCTTACATTTTTGCACTTATTTTTCTTGTTTGAGATGGATGAAACCTCGTTCAGTTCTTGGATGGACTTAATTCATTTTTGCTTCTATTATTTCCAATGAATATTCCAAAAAAAAGAAGAAATCAATGGCCGTTAATTCCATGCACCACATGTTCCCTATCAGCAATTTTACCTTCCTAGTCCAAAATTTCTGAACTCTTACTCTTGAACTCAGTCGGAATAATTTGGCGATTCATCTAGAGCATCAAAATTATATCAACAGCATTTTCCTATCACTTAAAGATTTGATACAATATATATCTTCTTGTTAACACCTTTTACTGGTCTAATATATTTCTTTCTGTGAGCCAAAACGATTCAACGTATTAAGCCTTGTGGGCACAATTTATTTTTTTCGTTTATTTATTTATTTATTTTTTTTGTATTACTCAGAACTGTATTGCTATACACTCTTTTTTTTTATAAGAATATATTTTATAAGAATATCGAGGCTGAAATTTGCGAAATTTTAAGAATATTTTAAGAATAAAGCCGAGGCTGAGATTTTGAAAAGGATGATAATTTTGTGTCTTGAAACATCTGTTAATACAATACAATTTTATGTTTTTAACTTATCCGTATAACATTATTCCTTTCTCTGAACGGCGAAACTAGCCAACAAAACGAAAAACCTGCACAAGCTATAGCAAAATGTTCAACGCTAATGACAGTTCGATGAACGGTACATGTAATACATATGTACAGTATTCTGCACAGAAACGGCCAAGTGTCGTAACGCGATACAGATCTAGATACCAAACACTTGTAATTGATACCCCAATAAATTCTAAAACGGAAATGTCATAAGCTCAAATTTAAGAATAATACAAGAATATTTTCAGCCTAAAATCGGCAGAAATATAAGAATATTCAGCCTGGGCCGGAAAAACAACCTTCTTATAAAAAAATAAGAGTGCATTTGGAAAACTTAATAAAATTTTAAATAAATGCCGCCCCTGATGAAATTTGTGCGTTACGTTCATGGTGATGGGGTTCCAAGAGAAGCTGAATAAGAAAGTATAAATTAGCCTATATAGGCTTGACGGATTTAACGGCGAGATTTTGAATATGCCACTCAAAATTTTATTTTCGTTAGTCCTTGGTAGAATTAATACATTCTTAACTGGCGTAATAAACTAAAACCTGTCAGATGTTATAACATTTGTAAAATTATGACCTGGATAAGAGCATCAGATTTGGAGAAATTTAAAAGGAAGGGCGCCAATCGGTCTGTTAGCCGTTGAGATAGGAACAAAAACTTCATTTTCCGGTATCGCAAGTAAGGAATATGATTTTTGAGTTGGATCAATGCCATGTAAGGGGGGTTACTCCCTTATATTTGCCTTATAGGTATGTGCCACCCTAAAGGGGATGGTTTTTGCTCGGTTTTGATATAAAAATGGGTGTAGACCGCCCATTTTGGTCTGGAATCATGAAGGTACGATTTTCGAGGAAACTACCGGAACATATGAACGTATTTATCGTTTCAATTCCAAATGAACAAGATAACAGAGAAATATGCTCATTCGAAATGGATCATATTATTGAGAAATCTTTTTTTGTTGGCGTTCTAATCTAACTATATGATGACATAATTTTCTTAAGGTGCCAGGTCTGAAAACGAGTGTGAAAATGACATTCTTTTGGTGTGAA